AATATAAATTTATTAATATATCTTTTTAATATTATATTACTTTAATAATATCAAAATTATTTACTTATACCGAAATTTTTAACAATACTAAAATTATTTATTATGTCAAATTTATTTATTATATTATTTCAGCATTATTACATCATTTTAATATTACTTGAATAATGTCAAAATTACTCACTTATACCGAAATTCTTTGATAATGCCAAAATTATTTATTATGCCAAAATTTATTTACTACGTCATTTCGGCATTACTGTACCATTTTAATATTACTTTAATAATATCAAAATTACTTACTTATGTCAAAATTCTTTGACAATGCCAAAATTATTTATTATGTCAAAATTAATTTACTACACTATTTCAGTATTATTGCACCATTTCGACAATAGTAATTACTACTTATAATAAAAATTTTGGCATTTCAGCATTTATTAAAAAGATTTCAGCAAGCATTCTTATTTTGAGTTCAATTTGAATTTTGAATTAGACTTGAATCCAGGCAAAAGTTTAGTTTGATTTAATTTATAAAAATACTAAACTAAACAAAATACATCATATATAAATTAAAAATTCTTATACAAAATCTTATAATTTTTGAGAATTAAAATAAAAAAATTCTCTTATAACTAAGAAAATTTTTTTTGATTTGTTTTAATTTTAAAGAAATTATAAAATAAAATTAATACTAAAATATAATATAATTATTTGATTAATTAGTATTAAATCATATAATAAATCATTATTATATAATAAAAGAGTGGATATCTTATGCTATTTCATACTATATTTAAAGAATATTTTAAGAATATCTTATCAAAAACTATTATAGTTACTAATAAATAAGAATAAAATATATAATCGTTGGTCACATGATCATATGCACCAATCAAATGGCAGGATCACATGTAAACTTGATTTTGGGAAAATAAATCTTCTCGAAATAAATTTATTAAAATCGGCAAGATGGAAGGAGAAAATGGATCACTTGTCCCAATGGAAGTAGCGAGCACTCCCTTTAAGCAGGAACAACCACAACAACATCAAACACCTCAACCGCAATCACCAATACCACCCGAAGATGCTGTAAGGGAACAAGTCACAGTTCCTCCCCCTTCACAGCATCCTAAACCCACTAAAAGATCAAAATGGGAATCTGAAAATGAAAGTGAAGAAGAGGCAGAAGAGCAGCATCAGCATAAACAACGACAGAGAATACTACTAAAGAAACGAAGGACCAATAAAAAAGGCAAAATTCACATTGACTCTACTGAGGAAGAACAAGGTTCTCAGACTGATGAAGGAACAAAATCTACAAAACAACTACTGCAATCACAAACCGAGGATAGTGGTGGTGGTATTGTTAGTTCTCAGTCACCAGGACAACAAAAGTCTTTGGTATCACCTAATGCTGTCGTTAGTACAACTACTCTCGAAAATTCAGAATTTTCATTAAACGTGCCTCGCACGCCGAAACGTGAAACATCACAGCATGTGTTTGCTAAACTAAAACCTCACGAAGTGAAAGCACCAGTGCTCGCAGGGTGTCGTAGCGTTGATAACTACGAGAAACTGAATAGGATAGAAGAAGGCGCTTACGGTATAGTGTTTCGTGCACGTGACAAAGCAACCGGTGAAATTGTAGCGTTGAAAAAATTAAAATTGGACAAAGAGAAAAATGGGTTTCCGATTACTTCGTTACGTGAAGTCGCCACTTTGTTGACGGCAAAACATCTAAATATCGTCAATGTTCGCGAGATTGTGGTTGGCGAGACTCTAACACAGTGAGAATTTAGATTTTTTATTACCTTTAGTTAAACAATTATATTTTCATATTGATTTTAGAATTGGTATTCATAATTGATTATACTCATAAATTTTATTATCAGAGTTTTTATAGTCATGGATTTCGTTGAACACGATCTCAAAAGCCTGATGGAAGATATGCGTCGTCCTTTCTCACACTCTGAAATAAAAACCATTATGCTTCAATTATTATCTGCTGTTGCTATGCTACATGATAACTGGATTATTCATCGTGATCTGAAAACTTCTAATTTGCTGTTGAATAATCGTGGGCAAATAAAGGTGGCGGATTTTGGCCTGGCGAGATCTTATGGGAGTCCACTGGGGAAAATGACCGAACTGGTGGTGACTCTTTGGTACAGGTATAATTATATACTCGCATTATAACCACACACACATATAAATAACAATTGTTTTAACCATCGCCATTATCGTCATCATTTTTTTAAAGAGCCCCAGAATTGTTGCTTGGTGCAAAGAAATACTCGACTGCTATTGATATCTGGTCGGTCGGCTGTATTTTTGGTGAGTTGTTAAATAAGGAGCCGTTGTTCCCTGGTCGAAGTGAGATTGATCAGTTAGATCAGGTGAATTGAATGTTAATTAGTTGTTTTTGTCAAGCTATATATTTACTCTGTCGATATATAAAAAGAAATAGGTCTAACAAAATATCAATAAAAAATACGAATATATTTTACAGATTTTCAAATTGTTAGGAACTCCTGATGAAAGAATATGGCCCGGGTTTTCTATCTTACCGAATTCTAGAACTTTTGTTTCGAAACAGATGTATGTGTATCTGATTTTTATTTTCCGTTTTTTTTATTTATGGAAGAAATTAATTACTTTTCTTTTTAGTTGATAGTATAACTTTATAATTTATTTCATTCCACTACCGACGCTATCAGGAAAGGACATTTACGATCCCGATTCTTGGATTTATCAGAAAACGGACTCGATCTAATGCAAAAGATGTTAACTTACGATCCGGCAAAACGGATCACCGCCGAAGAGGCATTAAAGCATCCGTATTTCACGCAAGTTTCATCAAAAAATAATTCGTTTGTTTGAGCAGTTTTTTTCAAAGTAACTAATATATTAATATCAATGATAATTTTATACTAATAATTTTAAAGAGAACGACCTGCACCAAAGGATCCAGAAATGTTTCCGACATGGCCTTCAAAAGGCGGTGGAGAGCGGTGTGTTTTTCATATACAAAAATACTGTGAACAAAATAAACTTTCTTCTTTATTACTTGCTAATAAAATTTATTATTATTAAATCATTTTATTGGTGATTTTAAATTAAAAATGATAGACGAAAATCCTATGCTAGCCCATCTGCTCCAAAAGGAGTACACCACGGCGGTGAATTCGATGAAGACGATCCAGCATTTCTGGGCTCGATTTTCGAGAACCAGATGGCATCGGGTGTTGATCGTGGGTTCCGATTGAACTTTGGAGGAAATACTCGTGAATAAGAAAAGATTATATAATTATGATCCCTATTTCTGTTAATATTTTATAGTAAAATGGTATGTAATTCTCTATAATGAAACAATTTAAACTGGCATACAGTCGATAAAAAAATAATTTCATGTTCGTGAGTACGTACAATCATTATTTTTATTTACTCATCATAATATTTTAAATTAAAAAAAAATAATAAAATACTCGAATAAAACACTGCAAATCACCAAGGTTTTATTATATTTATAAAAGTGTGTTGTTAATGAAGAAAACTAGTAAACTTGTATGCTCGAATAAACAATTCAAATCAATCAATATCTATTTACAATTCAAAATAGTTCTACATGTATGGTGCATAACATCAACCGTTTGTATTTTATAAAAGGTATAAACTTCTTTGCTAAGAAGTAAATACAAAATTTAATCTATGAATATGATAGAATATGCCCTTTCTGAATATATTCACGGATTGAATTTTGTATTTACTTCTTAGCAAAGAAGTTTATACATTTTATAAAATACAAACAGTTGATGATTTTAGATGTTATGCACCATATAAATAATATAATTATGTTTATATAAAACTATTTTTAATACAAAAAATATCAAGTTTACAAAGTACAAATATGAAAAAATCATAAATTTCATGAATCTTTTTATAACAAATAATTTTCTAACATGATTACAATTTGATTTATCATAAAAATAACAAACTTACAAATAAAGTTTCATTAATAAATATTAATATTACTGTTAAATTTAATTATATAATGAATTTAGTTAACTTGTAAAAATCAATTAACAAATTTTTTTAAGAAAAAAAACAAAATTATTAAATATAAATTTTTTAATTGTATTATAATCAAATTTCTTTATAATTACATTATTAAATTCAATAGTAATTATTAAATGTTATTATACATAATAGTATTTTATTATAAATATAACTATAATGAAATAATTTTATTATAATATTATAATATGAAATTTTATTATATTTATTTTAACAAAATAATATAATTAATATTTGAACAATTTATATTATAATTATCAAATAATATTGTTACAAATTGTTATTTTTTAATTTTATTAAATAATTATATTAGAGTTCCGAAAAAAAGTCTGGTTCGGTTCGAGTCTGGTTCAGTTTGAGCTTGAACCGGACTCGAACCTGACGAAAAGTCCGGTT